TTCTTGAACTTCAGGCCAAAATCTCTAGTTCCCTGCAAGTAACGAAGGATCCGTTTTCCAGCTAACAAATGCAATTATGTGGGATTCTCCATATATCTACTGACTAAACTCACAGAATACATAATATCAGGCCTTGTAGCAGTAAGATACATCAAACTGCCAACAATTTGTTTGTAAAAAGTGCTGTCATTTTTTTTTTTATTATTTCAGGATCTTTGTGTAGCTTCAAACTAGTATCAACTGGGGTGGTTGCAGGTGTATATAAATAAAATTTGTGGCCAATCAAATAGCACCACATGGAAATTAATTTATTAAAAATCAAGTTATATTTTCTATTTATATTTTAGGAATTTCCATAAATTTAATTCCTAAATTTAAATAGTTAATTAATTGATATTTTAATATTTTAATTCTTGACCAATCAAATAATGCCAAGTGTCAAATCTTATTCTTGGTAAATAAATCGTATCTTCTAGAAGATCTTGGAAGATTTAAGTGGATCTAGAAGATCTTGGGAGATCTAAGTAGATCTTAAAGATCTTATGTGAATCATCGTGGACCAATCAAATCGCGTCCTACGATTCTTAAATTTGGTAGGGTGCTCTCCCTAATGCCAAAAAGACACATCTCATAATTAATATTTTCAAGTTCAAGAGCTCTAGAGAATTCTCTCTACAAGTTTCAAGTGTTCTTGAAGATTCGAAGCCGTTCTTGAAGATTCGAAGGAAGATTCAAGCACATTCAAGCTCAAAACCGACGTTTAATCCAGAAACAAGCTACCAAGCCTCCGAATTACGTTCATATTCAAGTTCAAGATCAATATCTCTTGACGAGATTCAAGTGTTCTTGAAGATTCAAAGGCGTTCTTAAAGATTCAAAACAAGATTCAAGCGCGTTCAACCTCAAGACTAGCGTTCAATCCGGAAACAAGCTGCGAAGCTGTAACGCCCCGTTCGATTTATGGAATTTCTCAGAATATTCTATTTATCGAATATTATTTATAAGAGTATAATTATTTTATTAGTCGCGATGTCGACT